GCCGGTGGGAAGCAAGGCGCCAGCCTTTGCCGGGGACGCCAAAATATCTCTGTTGGTACGAAGAGCAAACATGGACGTGAGTTTGCCGTGCAATGCCCAGGGCCATCCTTCTCCTGTGCATAGGTACGAAACCGATTGACTCGACTCGATCGAGCGTTTACAGTAGTTTCCGGGAGCGAAAGGGTACGGAATATCGGAACGTTGCGGATACTCGGTCGATTAAAAAGTTCGCAGGGGAACCCTGTCCGAGGGGCTACGGCAACGACGTCGATTAATTTTAACGGCATTCCGCGTGACTTCGTTATTCCCCTGCTTAGAGCCTGTGGGGATCAAAGCGCCCGCTTTTCTGGGAGACGTTAAATCGTTCTTCTTCCTCCGTGGAGAGGGGTCGGAAGCGAGCATGCCGTGCAATGCCCAGGGGCATCCTGTTCCCGTAACCAGGTACTAAATTACCCATTGAAAGGCATCGGTTACCGTGCAACTCGAATCATTGTCGCGCGGTTTGCTTCGCATTCTCCGACCGGCGAAGAGGTTCGTTCGAGTATGAACGATATCGAAACTAACAGCTCAGTTTTTACTTCAAAGAAGATCCCTATTCGCGGGACAATGATTCCCTTAAGTCTATTAAGCGGTGTCGGACGGGTGCGAATCTTGCCTCCTCGCGAGTATCGTGTTCGGTAATACGATACAGTTAGTCCGGTAGAACGGTCTCGTGGTTCGAGGGTGGACTTCATATCCCTGGTTCGTTAATCTTACGACAGAGCCGGTCTCCACGAAGAAGCCAAAGTTCTCGAGTGACGCGAAGAAGTCCTGGTACGATCGCGTCGTCGAGGAAGATCTCACCCTGTTCTGTCCCGCGCAGGGGTTCCCAGTTCCAACCTATAGGTATACAACCGCATTTTAATCGTTGGGCGTTAGTCAAAGAGCATCAGGTTCACAGCATGCCCCTGTTGTCTTTGTGTGATTCATTAGAGCCGGTCGGCAGCAAAGCGCCAACGTTGACGGGCAATTTAAAGGGTGGCTGGATGGAGAACAAAGGGGCTTCCAGTGTCGTCCTCTCTTGCCCTGCGCAAGGGTACCCTGTGCCTTCGTTTAGGTAACTGTTTTTTCCTCCCTCTCGAATTACCTCGAACTTTCTCTTCCTTCGTATTTCATTCTCGACGGTCGCGAATCCGAAGACGGTTGCCCGGCACGACACTTACCGCTGGTCCTTTGCCCCGTTAAAATGGACGCGATAGTATACCAAGTGGACCACATAAATTGTTTACCTCTATTATACATCTGTCCTTTGACAACAACAAAAATAACAGAGGTGGACAATTTATGTAATTAGACCGCCGTGGGTTAATCCCGATACGACGACTCGCGCGATCCGTTCGATCCTTTAAACGCGAAGACCTTCGTCGCAAGTTTGGTCGGAGTGGCACAGCATTGTTCTCCAATCGTTGGGAACTAAGCGGCACTTATCGGTCCAATTTGTTTCCATTACGTTGCCTTGGCCTTCTTTTTTGTTACCCTCGTCCCGTCGTTTGCCGGCATCCCCACTTCTGACGTCCAAAGTAGAACAATTAATTTCACCCCATTCGTCGCGTGTGTGTGCATTGTTAGAACCGGTCGGCAGCAAAGCACCGGCGTTCACGGGAGACGTGAAGGGCGTGTGGCTGGAAAAGGCAACGGGGACCAGCGGCGTGCTGCCGTGTCCGGCGCAAGGATATCCTGTCCCCTCCTATAGGTAAAAAGCCACAAGCGATAATTAAAAAGACGCATCGGTCGGGTACTTATCGACCGCAGAGAGAAAGCGTTCCAGATCTCCCTGGATTCGATTGTTCGTCGGTCGCTTTCTCCACCAAAGGCGCTTCGTTTCATTGCTCCGTTTGTAAATCGGGGGTCCTCTGTTCCATCGAAGAAATTACGTAACCGTAAGAACTGCGCGAATCGCGAGACATCATCTCGTTGACAGCTTTTGTTTTGCGTGTGATCAGAGCCAGTCGGGAGCAAAGCGCCAGCGTTGATGGGGATCGTTAAAGGGATAATATTGGAGGCCGGATCGACGTCCAGCGTCGTGGTATTTTGTCCAGCGCAGGGTTATCCCGTGCCCTCGTTTAGGTAAACGTACGATTCTTAGAGGAATGTAACTAAATACGACGATGCACCAATGTCGCTGCGATGCGTGTCCTAATCGATATGTTTCGCCACCGAATACCGTGACTAAAACAGTATCTGTCATTGTATTTCTTTTCCGGTCGTACTCTCACTTGGTCTGGCAACGAGGTGTCTACTAACATCTTAACGCTTTATCGTCGGTCGACACGCATGAATTTTAACCACAATCGAGACGATGTCGTTTATGAAATTTAAATTTACTACTACCGGCGATAAAGCGTAACAAAGTGTCTAACGTAATGTCGCACACGAATCTTGATCGCATGCCCACGCGAACTTCCGCAGAACCGATTGGAACGAAGGCTCCGGCATTCACGAGCGAGTTGAAAGGGGGTTGGCTGAAGAAGAGAGCCAAGTCCAGTGGCGCTTTGTCGTGCCCAGCCCAGGGACATCCTGTGCCCGCCTTTAGGTAAACATTCGTCGGTCGAGGCTTGCATCTGCCTACCCTGAATCGTTCTTAATCGTTATTCGAATAGAACCGGTCGGAAGCAAAGCGCCAGCGTTGACAGGTGACTTGAAGGGTGGCTGGAAAGAAAGGAGACGCGAGTCAACGGTCGTCTTGTTTTGTCCTGCTCAGGGTTATCCCGTGCCCAGTTTTAGGTAAACGTTCCTTGAATTTCAAGCGTGATTTTCCGTTTTCTTTTTGTGACCGTTAGAACCCATCGGTAGCAAAGCCCCTGCATTGATCGGCGAAATGAAACGCGGTTGGAAAGAACAGAGCACGCGTACCAGCGTGGTGATGACGTGTCCTGCTCAGGGATATCCTGTACCCAACTATAGGTAAAACGTTCGAAGTCGTTGCCTGACAAAGGGCACGTTTCTTTGCTCGATAGAACCGGTCGGTAGCAAAGCACCCTCGATTCTCGGCGAAAAGGGGAGCCTCATGGAGAGGCACACCGGTACGCACATCGTAATCCTCTGCCAAGGGCAGGCCTACCCTGTTCCAACGTTCAGGTAAACTCGCGAATCTCTTCTCTCGGTCGAAGCTCGCTCGCGGTAGACGTTTCACGCTGTTCATTTCTTTTTGTGACAAAGAACCGGTAGGAAGCAAGGCGCCCTCCGTTTCTGGCGACGCAAAACGATGGCAGAAGACCAAAATCTCGATGGGATTCGCGGTGCAGTGCCAAGCGCAGGGTCACCCGGTACCAGCGTTCAGGTACCCAAGACGACGACCGTTCTCCGTTATCGATCGTCTTTAGTTCATTTACCGCATCCAGCGAACGAATCTTCGCGTTCGGAGGAGCTCTGTTCCAACGACCCTTCGGCGTTCTTTTTGCCATTCGTCGAGAGCTCCTCCGAGCGAAACTGTGCGTAATCGTTACGTTCGCGTTGGTAGAACCATTGGGAGCGAAGGGACCGAAATTCTCGAGCGATGATCGCGTCAACTCGTTCGCGCGCGCCGCGGGACGTTCGTCGGCGCTACTTTGTCCCGCACAAGGGTTCCCAGTTCCGATGTTCAGGTAAATCACAGAGAATACGGTTCGTGTAGCTAGACTCACTCCTGTATCGCGTTTTTTCGACATAGAACCGGTGGGATCCAAGGCGCCCGCTTTTCAGAGCGACGCGAAAAGCGTCAGCTACGTCAGAGCCGCGAGTACCTCGGTCGCGATCACGTGTTCCGCTCAGGCGTCGCCACCCCCGACTCACAGGTAACGTAGCCTTCGCGGACAAAAATCGGTTGAAAAGGATACAGTGGCGGTGGCGCTCTCTACTCGCAGGGCAAGTACGCGGTGCTCGGAAACACGTATTACAATAACAGCTTGCATCTTGTGAATGTCAGAGCCGGCGGGTCAGGTGTCTCCAAAGTTCCCGAAGTCTGCGAAAAGCAATACCTTCGACGTGGCGAACGAAGCCGAAATCAGCTTGCTCTGCGATGCCCAGGCGTTCCCTGCTCCCTCGTTTAGGTCAGTGAACGTTCATCGATGTTCGTCGATACGTGAATTACATTTCATTTGGCGATTCTGTAGAGCCTGTGAACGGTGCCAAGCCTAGAGTCGCGTCCACTGCCAAGTACGACGTTCTCGCCAGCCATTTCGGAACTCCTGTAACGATGCTTTGCCCGGCGCAGGGGCACCCTCTTCCAGCTTTTAGGTACATATTTATCGTCCATCTTTCTCGAAGACAGGGTACATTCGAGTTGTCGTTTCTCTATCCAGAGCCGGTCAGTGGCGCGGCACCCAAAGTACCACCCACGGCTAAAATAACAGTGTTCTCGCTACCGTCGCAAAAAGCCATGGCCATGCTGTGTCAAGCTCAAGCGCATCCATTGCCGATCTTCAGGTACGCTTGGACGAGCAACTGAAAAGGGCCTTCCGACGCATCCCGCGATTATCTTCGGTGTCGTTCCTTTGACTTCAGCCCGATGTACCGTACACCTGGAACGGTTTCACTTGCTTGGCCGAGTTAAACTTGTCGTTCCGCACGCAATGACCGAGATCGCGAGAGTCACGCGAAGATATCGATCGGTAGATCAGCGCGTGAATCTTTTCTCGTTTTCTAGAACCGGTAGGTGGTAGTCCTCCTCGATTGCCGCCTCGATCGAAACTCGACGGATTGGCTACTGTCCAGGGCCAAGCTTCGACGTTGCTCTGCGAGGCTCAGGCCAGTCCTCCGCCTCAAAACAGGTGAGCAACGTACGATAGCGTCGCGACGCGTTTCCTATTACGCCTTATCAGATTCCGTCGGTCTTTATCTTCGCTGCTTTCTTCTCGGAAACGAGCCTCGTACACTCGTCGACCTTCGCGATATTAAACACCAGTTTCCAACTCGCGAATCGACGACGCGTTCGACAACGACGACAAAACGTTTCCCCATCCTGGCATTTTACGGTATTGCAGAGCCACGGGGTAGCGTACGTCCAAACGTGCGGGACAAGGATGTCAATGGTCTGAAGAGGGACGTTCTAGTTGATCTAATGGTGGGCCTACCGTGTCCTGTTCAAGGTTTCCCGGCGCCCATGTTCAGGTACGGGATAGTACGATAGAGAAACAAAGGGGTCGATGGTTGCCTCGGGCGGTGGCGATCCTGATGGAGTATTCGGTCGTTTTCCGGATCGTTTCCTCCTCGAATATCACGAGCCACGCGTGGCGGTTTCCTCGGGGTACTGTTCACAGAACCGACGGGTAACGTCCCGCCGCGCATCGCCGGTGAACGTTACGAGGGTGGGAAACTCGTCGACGTTCGAAGGACGATGGTGGTGGCCCTGGATTGCTCGACTCAGGGATTTCCTGTCCCAGTGACAAGGTACACTCGCGACCTAACGAACCCGCTTGTTCTCGAGACGCAACGATCGCGTTTCAGAGGGTACGACCAAGATAGGACCGCGGTCGTCGGGCAAGAAATTCGAAAGGGAGGTGGTTTTGGCTGCTAGAGGTCGGGATGTCGCGTTGAATCACGCGCTCCAAGCATTCCCGGTGCCCCTGACAAGGTAGACACCCCTTCGTTCACCCGTCGTTCCTCGGTACCCTCGTTGTCGTCGTCGTCGTCGTCGATGAGTCGAATCAGTTGATATCTTTACGTTCCGATGGACCGATTGATCGAGGAGGCTCGAACTTTTTCTCAGGTAAGTAAATCGCATGCGATGTTTTGGCGTGATCGACTCGGAATGCTGACCAACAGGAAGGACGACGAGGTACGTAATTCCGTATTTGATTTTCCGTGGCGAGGGGGTCCCACACGAGCAACGATCGTAGTTCTATTACTCGCGACCTTTCATCTCGTATCAGCCGCATGAAAATACTCAGTCTGCTGAAAAGCTGCGCGCTAGGAACCCCTTCGTCGCGTAGAAACCTTTGCAACGATCGATAAATTAACAAAACCGACTCTAATTAACGATAACTTCTAAAACAAAAAAAAAAAGAAAAGATAAAATGGAAAATACGAGTTCGATATTCTGGGCAATAAATGGTATCCTTCCAGAACCGTCCGGTCGTACTGCCCCAAAAGGGACTGGAGACGGCCTTAATAAGTACCGCGGGGTAGAGGGCGAGTCTCTGGCGCTGGCGTGTGCGGCACAAGGCTTTCCTGCCCCGATCTTTAGGTACACAAAAGTTCCGTATAGCTTCTCTCTTTTTTTTCTTTTGTTTGGTCGTTTGTCTTGCTCCGCAGAGCACGGATCCTATTTTCGAAGCGTTCCATCCTTACCCTCTACCCCGAATCGGGTGGCGGTACCGCAAAATCCGACAAGTTGGACGTTTGACAAAGGCGAACAGACGAGAAAAATGAAAGGCGAACGGGAACAAACGTAAAATAAATTACCAAATGTACGAATACAGCGGAAACGAGGTGACAGGGTGGCCCCTGTCGAAAAATGTGAGCGGAGAAACGAAGATCCCCGACGCCCGCTGCTCTCGTCAACGATCCATAAAAACGGCAGGAGGGTGTAGACAATCGAAGAACGACGAATTAGGTCGAATTTTTTTATTGTAATTTGGTCTCGTCAGTCGTCTTCTCGATTTAAGCGCGATTCAACGTTGATCTCTAGAGATAACAAATCGTTACGGGTTGAAAGAACGGGCAAGAGAGCAAACAAACGATTCGTAGAGTTGAGAAGCGACAGGAAAGTGTCTATTCCGTATCCGGGGCCAATCGAACGTGTTGGTTTTCAGTGCCAACTGGAGATAGGTGACCGAAGCGCGACTCCGAAAAGGATGCGGGCCCTCTTCTCCTTCGGTAGCCTCGGTGCTGATCCGGGTGGTCCGAGAGGGTGTCACCCGATCAATGGGGTGAACAATGTTGCCCTGCACCTGCACACCTCCGATAAGTCCCACGATATCTGGCTGGTAAGTCCTCGCCGCCTTCGTGTCTTCGTTCATCCGTTCGCGTTTTTCACTCTCCCCGTATACCTTCTGTTTCTTTCACTCGCCAGAAATATTCGTGATTCGTGTACGTCGCGTCGTCCAGCCGCTGCACCATCGTCGCCCCTATCGCTCATTCACCAACGTCCGTTCCACGGTACCATTCGGTTCCCGACTTTCATCTAAATGGCAACGTTTGCGGGACCGTTCGTTACATGTACGTCGCACACAATAGGAAAAAAGTGTGCGAAAGTTTGTTTTCATTTCCACGCGAACATCCTTAACGTCAGTCTACCGTCTTCGAGTAACGTTTTCTTAAGTTCGTTAGTTCGTTTCATTCCGATAAGTTTTCTTGGTCTCAGCGATCGACCTCGGTAACAACGGCGGGTATGACACCTGACCGTGAATCCGAGCAACGAGTTTGATCGATATCCAACTCGTTACGGTTATCTGGAATCGCTCGGGGAGGTGTCGCGCAGCCCGCGTCTCGCGGAAGCGACGCTCGTCGTTGTACGCGTGCTCGGGTGCGGTGCTTTTCTTGCGAATTTTTTCTTTTCGGTCGTGACGAAGTTGCCGCTGCCAGCCTCCTCTTCTCCCTCCTCCTCCCTGCTCTGCTTTTACGACCGCTGTACGTTCCAGCTGCGCTGAAACTCTCCTTCTTTCTGATTAAGTCTGCGAGACACGCGCTAATGAGCCGACAGTAGAGACAGAAGCCCGCGACCAGAGACGCCCAAAGCCCTGCACATACGTTAGGGTGATCCTTCTTTCAATTTATTACGTTTCGACTCGTGAAATCGTTAAAATTTTAATAACGCAACCCAGTGCCGCAAGGATCACCCTAATACATATATACGAAAGAAGGAAACGAAACCAATGTGGGAAACGAAGCGAATAGAAACCGATCTAGGTTGACGTGTCCTCGTTTTTCGCGAGCGGAACGGATCGAATGGCTCGCATCGAGCGAGAAAGACATTTCTATTGGCTTCGTTTCGCGCGAGCTTTTCATTTTCCACTGGGATCGATTCGGTACGAAGCCGTCTTCGTTCCGGCGTCCGACTCGCAAAACAATTCTTTTCATCCTGTCGTTTCAGATGGTACAAATTCATCGAAGGCTCGTCCCGTCGTCAACCGGTCCAGCTGAACGATCGCGTTCGCCAGGTTAGCGGAACCCTGATCATCCGCGAGGCTCGCGTCGAGGACTCCGGAAAGTATCTTTGCATCGTGAACAACTCCGTCGGCGGCGAGAGCGTGGAAACCGTCCTAACGGTGACAGCCCCATTGTCCGCGGAAATCGAGCCTAGCACCCAGACCATCGACTTCGGTAGACCGGCCACCTTCACCTGCAACGTTCGAGGAAACCCCATTAAAACGATCTCTTGGCTGAAGGATGGCAAGCCCCTTGGACTGGAGGAACCCGTGCTCAGGATCGAGAGCGTCAAGAAGGAAGACAAGGGAATGTATCAGTGCTTCGTCAGGAACGACCAGGAAAGCGCCCAAGCAACGGCTGAACTCAAACTCGGCGGCAGATGTAAGTTGAACAACTCGAGAACAGTCGTGGCCTCCGGCTTTTCAGAGTAGGGACCTAATTAATTAAGATGAAACGTTTCCACACCCACAGTCGAACCCCCGCAAATTCGTCAGGCCTTCGCCGAGGAGACTCTTCAACCCGGACCGAGCATGTTCTTGAAGTGTGTAGCCAGTGGAAATCCGACTCCTGAGATCACCTGGGAACTCGATGGTAAACGGCTATCCAACACCGAAAGACTTCAAGTAGGACAGTACGTTACGGTGAACGGCGACGTGGTTTCTCACCTGAACATCTCCAGCATTCATACCAACGACGGTGGACTCTACAAATGTATCGCCGCGTCGAAGGTAAGAAAGTCGCATACGCTGTCAGCTTTTATTTTTTGCTTGGACGTAATAAAGAAACGGGAACGCACGCAACAAACGACGTTTTTTCGATGATTACAGGTTGGATCCGCGGAACACTCGGCTCGTCTCAACGTTTACGGTCTGCCATTCATCCGCCACATGGACAAAAAGGCTATCGTCGCTGGCGAGACTCTTCGCGTGACCTGTCCCGTCGCCGGATATCCGATCGAAAGCATCGTATGGGAACGCGATACGAGAGTTCTGCCGATCAACAGGAAACAGAAGGTCTTTCCCAATGGCACTCTTATCATCGAGAACGTCGAGAGAATGAGCGACCAGGCTACGTACACCTGTGTGGCACGCAACGCGCAAGGCTACAGCGCGAGAGGAACGCTCGAAGTCCAAGTTATGGGTAAGCGAGAAGATTTTTTACTCGATCCCTCTTTCGAGAAACTTCGGCGATTTATCCAACGTTTTCGATCGAATTTGACAGAATTGTGGAACGATTGATAAATAAGGGACACATACTTTTTTCAACTACTCTTTTTAATTAAAGTCGATAAAATCGAGTCCCGTTACGATAACGGTATACGTAATTTTTGTCCATCGTAAAGAATCATTTCGAAAGTAAATTTTTCTGAAAAAAATTGTCGATTTTCAGTGCGGATCGAACACTTTTTCCATCGAATTATAGCTCGTTACGGAGATATTCCTTTTCAAAGAAACGCGGATTATTCGGCGCGAAACGTATCGGCAACGGAATTCTGTGCGTAAAACATTATTTACAGGTATTCAGCGATTGGCGTTCAACGTTCTATCGCAGATATAACGATTCTTTCAGCAAAACTTGGCTACTTTCGACGGTGTCGATAGGTTACATCGACGGTTAGATCCTGTCGAATGCGAGTCTCGCGAATCGTACGTAAACACGTGTACTCGGTAAATCGGATCTTGAGAATCCGCGAATGCGAAACGGACACGGACGCGGACACGCACACGGATGACGACCCCGTTGCAGATTTCACGAACAGTTGATCGCAATTGCGTGATAACGTCTCGAAAAAAATGAGGCACGAGCGCTTCCGTTTGGAACGTTGGAAGTTGGTATGGCGGTGGCCGACGATCGACCGTAAGAAATCTGGTGCATTATTGTCAGAATTGTTCTCTCTTCGCGCGTCCACCACTCGTAGCAACCGCTGCACGACGGAGTACCGTGTCTCTGTACATAAATATTACCAGCCTATGGGTTGGCTGCGTACCTTTTTTATCGCGTAGTCAAATTCTTATTTATCGTAATTCAATTACAATTACGAAATCGACGCAGCCAGCCTATCGACGACTACAGGACCACGCGACGTTACGACACGTTCATGTTCACGTACATACATACGTTAGAGATGAGTTTGCCGAGTCATCGACTATTTCCGCGGAGATCAATGGAGATCAATGTTTTTTTTCCCTTTTTTTTCCCTTTCGTTTCTTTTTTTAAGAGAGCGTTGTCGTTATCTATATCGTTAAGCTCATCTCTAACACACATACGCTCGCGACCCGTCATCATACGTCCATACATCGATCCTCCACCCTCAGTGCCGCCCACGATACAGCAGTTCTCGTTCACGAAGCTACCCATGAACGCCGGAGAGTTCGCTAATCTGCAGTGTATCGTACCGACCGGTGACCTGCCTTTGAACATACGTTGGAGCTATCCCGGAGAAGAGATGGGCGGTTCGTCCGGCGTACTTGCGAAGAAGGTCGCGGATCGCGTTAGCATGCTCATGATCTCGATCATCACCGCGAGACACGCGGGGGAGTACGTTTGCACCGCTGAAAACGCGGCTGGAACGGCGTCCCACTCGACCACGCTCACCGTCAATGGTTCGGGACTATGCTCCGTTCCTACGGAATACACAACTTTTTCTTTATTCGTTTTGCTTTCTATTTTTCGTTTCGTTACGTTTCTGCACAATCCCGACAAAGAGCACAGTAGCGATCCCTCTCGTGTCCTAACCTGAACGTTCCCCAACGAGAATTCCAACGTTTCCGTCAACGTTCGAGTCGTTCGCACGAGATATTTCGAGTTGCGAACCGTGCACGTTAGAAGGGACGATAACGCGGCGCTATGAGAAACACAAGGACTCGATTCTAACGTACGATGACTACAGTCGGCCCGCAGCTTCTACCGATCGCTTTCAATGCCGAGGTCGCCAACTCGGGAGACTCCGTGTCCGTGCCTTGTTCGATCTTGAAGGGCGACATGCCCATGGATATATCGTGGGCATTCAACGGCGTGCCGATCGACACGTCGAAAGACGCTAGTATCACGATTACGAGAATCAGCAAACACCTGAGCACCCTTAGCATCGACGGCGTATCTGCGAGACACGCCGGTGATTACGCCTGCTCCGCATCGAATATCGCCGGTTCCGTCAGTCGATCAGCAATCTTAACGGTGAACGGTACGATTCCCTCTTCGATCTCCATCGCTCCTCTTCACATGTACAATTCCTTCATCATCGCGAATTATCCCTGACACTTCCCAGCCCCACGATTTCCAAGAAACGTTTCTTCCTCTGTCGCGGGTTTCGTATGCAAAGATTATCGGCACCGGGAGTTCCGACTTTAGAATCTAGTTAAATTGCCGTTGGTTAGTATGCGGCATCGGTGATCTTTGCTCGTGGAAATCCTACACGAGCCGCATCTTCGTCGCCATACCAACCCCATCGTTGCTCACTCGCAGGACCGTGTAGAATAGCCAAGATCGGTAGAAGCGTCGTTCGCGACTCGACGCCCTTTCCTTTTCGTCTCGACTCTTCTAGTCGTTGTTTCCAGTCGCCCCTCAAATACTACCCTTCACTTTCGGGGACGAGCCCGCCAGCTGGGCCGAACTTATCTCCGTGACTTGCACCGTGACCAAAGGCGATCAGCCTCTCGAGATATCGTGGGCCTTTAACGGGACCCCGATCGACAGCCGCCATGGATCCGATGTCGTCATCGCGAGCACTAACAAGAAAAATAGCGTTCTGACTATCGAGTCGGTCGCGGCAAGACACGCCGGGGATTATACTTGTTCCGCGTCGAATCGTGCCGGCGCCACGACGCATTCGGCTCAGCTAACCGTAAACGGTACATACGTAGAGATATCTAGTTGTTTCCTCGTTTAACCGTCATCTTTGCCTATCGCGATTCCTCTTATCACAGTAGCGATCTTTAACTTCTATTCCTGGCCCATACTCATCTCTCTCGATGGTCCTCCAAGATCAGTTTCCTCGTCTCCCTTGCCTTCGTCCGACTCGCGAAGAACCGAGATCCTTTCGTACGATCGACGCTCGGATCTGTGAGCACGCGTGGCTGCGATCGGAGGTTCTCGTCCGAAAGAATACACCAGATTCTCGATACCGATCGAATCAATCCTTTCTCGATCGATTCCCCTTCGTTCTTTCTCACGTCGCATCCTTTGGTACGTGCGTCGATCGCGCAGTCGCGCCACAGATCCTCCAGTTCTCTTTCGGCGACGATCCCCTCAACTCCGGCGAGATGCTGTCGGTTTCTTGCACGATCGTCAAGGGCGACTTCCCCGTGGTCTTGACATGGACGTTCGACGACACCCCGATAGACTCGAGCAGACCGGACGTTAATATCATAACTAATAAGAGGGTCAGCTTCTTGAGCATCGACAGCGTGGTGGCGAGGCACGCCGGAAGATACAAGTGCATCGCGACCAATGCCGCTGGATCTGACAGTCACACCGCCGTACTCTCGGTCAACGGTACCCCCCTCGTACACGAATTTATTACTTTGCGATTGTACCGCGGTTTGTTAAAAGAAAAAAAAAAAACAAAAAACGTACCGACGGTCTTGAATGAGATTCTGATTTGTAGACGACTGACAGCCTCGGAAGATCGGTCGGTGCGTTTTTCGATCGCTTTGTCTAATTTCAGTATTCTCTCTCGTAACTTCTTGTTTTTCGCAGTAATCTTCATAGTGTATAATCTTTATCGAAAGCTACTGCCGTCGTCGTGCCGATGATCGAACGCGAGCGCGATTGTCGATCCGTGCGTACAAACGAAAGGTAAGATTATCGTCAGCGACGACGGCAGGTAAGGACACGGTCCATCTCGCGGATGCAGCGAGACGATGGACCGTGTTTCTTCTTCACATGTTCCGTATTGCTTTTTCTTTACAGTTTTTTGATAACGTTCTTTTACGTCCCCTCTATCCCTGATCCCGTAAGCAGCCGATTTTTTTTTTTATTTATTCCATGGTCACTCGATTCCCCGCCATCCGACAGCTCCAGGCGCGTCGTTCGCGTAGCAAACGGTGCGAAACCGCCCCTCCTCTTCGGTATCGTAAACGGATAGGTAGATCCGCAATGGCGAGACGCGAAGGAAAAAATAGAGGTCATGATTGACGTCGGAACCTGTGAGTTTTTTTTCGCTGAACACGCGCGAAGGGTTCGCAAGATATGCACCGAAGGCGACGTTCGGGAGACTCGTCTCCATGGGTCCACGCGCGAGATTCAAAGCTGTTTTCGATCTTGCAGTCGCGCCGCAATTGGCGCCTTTCGCGTTCGGTGACGAGGCCGCCAACGCGGGAGAGATGGCCACCGTTCAGTGCGCCGTGATCAAAGGCGACTTGCCGTTGAGGATCGTGTGGTCGCTGAACGGTAGGCCTATCGATGTTGGACGCGTGTCCGGCGACCACAGTTACGACACTCCTGACATCGTTGTGACCAGAGGTAGTAAACGGATCAGCACCCTGACGATAGACTCGGTAGCCGCAAGACACGCGGGCGAGTATAAGTGCACCGCGACCAACGCAGCAGGATCCGCTGCTCACACGTCGGTTCTTTCAGTGAACGGTACGCTTTGGTTAGCTTGGAACGATCGGGTGGTTGGTCGACCGTGTAAAACAGCGGGGGTATGCGACGATTCGCGCCACTGAGGGTGAAGGTGTAACGCGTCCAACGACTATTTCGTTTTCTCAGATACCACTCCCGAGTCCCGAGTAGCGGAACTTTCTTTAGGTGTCTGACATCCGACGATACATCCCCGTCCAATAGTCGCGTGCACGCGGTCCCCGTTTAACGTCGTATCGACACGTGTCGTGCTATCCATGGCGTTCTTGTCACGTCGACAGTACCGCCGCGCATCGCTCCATTCGAAATGGCCGATAGGGCTGTGAACTGGGGCGATTCCGTATCGGCTGTCTGCACCGTAGTCAACGGGGATACCCCTCTCGAGATCAGCTGGGCTCTGAACGAAATGCCTATCGACGGGACTCACCGGATATCCGTGACTACCACCAAAAGGAACAGTCTACTGTCCATAGACTCGGCCAGTCCTAGTCACGCGGGCACGTACACTTGCGTTGCTTCGAACGCAGCCGGCGCAACCAGCTATTCGACGGCGTTGACAGTCAACGGTACCTACTGTAGACACCCTAAACGAACACAAACACCCGTACGCCACTCCTTCGTCGGTTCCTTCGCTCAGCCTCGATCCCATCCTTCGTCTTCGCGATCAACGAAAGGTGTCGGAGTAACTCGTAGGACTCGTCTTGCCGTTTATTCGCGAGGAGACAAAACTGGTGATGTAATCGTTTGCAGTCGCGCCGCAGATAGCTCCGTTTGTGATCGCCGAGGAGCCAGCAAATTGGGGCGACTCGATTTCCGTGGTGTGTGCTATTCTCAAGGGCGACTTGCCGATCGAGATCAGCTGGGCGTTGAACGGCGAGCCGATCGGCCGTGATCGTTCGGACATAAACATCCTGGCAACCACGCGAAAGAATAGCATCCTCAGCATCGAATCCGTGGCCGCGAGACACGCGGGAGAGTACACGTGCTCGGCTTCCAACAAGGCTGGAGCGACCAGTCACTCGGCTACACTGGCCGTAAACGGTACTTTTGTTCAACAAAGACGTCCTCCGACATTTCCCTTTCGCATCCTTTGTATCTCGTCATTGTCTTCCCATTGCCTCCAGTCGGTGGTTTGGATTCGGAGTGCGAGCGTTCGATTTCCCGATAGTTCGGGCCTGGAATTTTCGTCAGTTCTCCATCGGGTGTCGTAGCGCCTCGATTTATCGCGAGATGCGTCGCTGCATCGTCAAAGGTCACGGTAGAGGGGTATAAGTTGGACAATGACGGATTCTTTGTTCGTCTTAGTTGCTCCCGAGATAGCTCCGTTCGTGATCAGCGAGAAGCCGGCAAACTGGGGAGACACGGTTACCGCAACCTGCACGATGTTGAAGGGTGATTCTCCGATTCAGATCGAGTGGGCTCTCAACGGCGAACCGATTTCCCACGATTATCCCGATATATCGATCGCGACCAGCAGACGTGTCAGTTTGCTGACGATAGACGCCGTGACGGCGAGTCACGCCGGGGATTATACCTGTGTGGCTAGCAACGCCGCTGGTGGAACGAGTTTCACCGCGACATTGGCCGTGAATGGTACAATACGTGTTCCTTGTTCCCCTCGGTTTGCTTTATTTTCTCGATGCATGCGCGACCCTCGGCTAGACAGTTTTCCGTCATATCCTGTTCGTGTCACCAACGTCAACGACATCCTCCCCGATCCCTTCGTTTCGTTGCGACAACGCCGCGATCCTCGATCGGACGTATTCGTCAGGTAAATTCGTTTAAAATTCACGATCGGCCGCGAAGGATGTTGCTCGCCTCGTTCTCAGCTTCGAATGAAACATCTTCGTTGTCGTGCTGACCGCAGTTGCACCGGAAATCGTACCATTCGATATCGGAGAGGGACCAGCGAATTGGGGGGACACCGTCACCGCGACGTGCACGGTATTGAAAGGGGATCACCCCATTCAAATCGAATGGGCTCTCAACGGCGAACCAATTTCTCGCAATCATTACGACATATCGATCATAAATACCAGCAAGCGCGTCAGCCTGCTGACGATCGACGGTGTGACGGGGAGACACGCGGGAGAGTATACGTGCTCCGTCAGCAACGCAGCCGGCGGGACGAGTTATTCCGCATCTCTCGCCGTTAATGGTACAACGATTTCCTGTATTCTCGTTCCCTTAGAGCCTTCTATACGTTTCTTTCTCTGTCATGCATGCGCGCAGCAGTTTGTCATCCTGGAGGCTCCTTCCGATCCTGTACCATCGAAGCGGAGAAAGAGCTACGCGTTCGTCTGTTCGGGTTGCAATTATCCCGACCTTGCGCCGTTTCGAAATATCGAACCGACGACTTTCGCGTGGTCGTGGTGCTTCGAGCTCAATCTACGCACCTATTAGTTAGTTCGATCGAATGTTAAACGCAGGTTCACTGTCCTTGTAGTTATGCCGCACATAGGGCCATTCTCGATCAGTGACGGACCGGCTAACTCGGGCGACATGGTTTCGGCGACCTGTTCCATTATGAAAGGTGACTTTCCGGTAGAGATCGTGTGGAAGTTTAACGGTAGAACGATAGGTTTCAACGATCAGGACGTAACGATCACGAGGATCAATATGCGTATGAGCGCGCTGAGCATCGAGTCTGTGGCAGCGAGACACGCGGGCGAGTATAGTTGCGTCGCGACGAACAGAGCTGGAAACGTCAGCCACTCGACGACTCTGGCCGTCAACGGTACCTATCTCAACAAGCACGCTTGCACGTCAAACAAATTCTGCACAAGCATAGCCTTAACTAAAACAAAAAGAAATGCAACCCCAAGATTGCCATTCCTCGTATCTCTCGACGAATTCTATGCCTCTGCACCGTTGAAATTCCTCTTCCCGAAGAGCCCAGCCTCCCTTTCCATACGAAAAGACGAGAATCCGAGAAAAGTGGCGAGCCGACGAGAGGTGTACCCGGTATTCGAACGCGGCACCCGTGCAGCGACGCGACTCCGTTTCTTTGACGCGCGACGCGCTCTAGCTAGTTTTCTCACAGTTTCACCGCAGATCTTTCCATTCACGTTCGGCGACGAACCGGTCAACTCGGGCGAAGCGATCTCGGCGACCTGCTCGATCCTGAAGGGAGACTTTCCGATGGACATATCGTGGGCGTTCAACGGCGTGCCGATAGACGCCGAGAGCACGGATCAGTACTCTATCACGAAGAGCAAGCGGTTGAGCGTGTTGGCGATCGATGCCGTAGCCGCCAGACACGCGGGAGAGTACACTTGCACAGCATCGAACAAAGCTGGAGCCTCGAGCCACGCGGCGGCGTTAGCCGTGAACGGTAATACGCACGCATGTGTGTAGACGTTGGCGCACGTCTGTTGGGTTTCTCGTAGCCGTCTCGGGAAAGGCCTCCTTTTCTCTCATTCCTCTCTTGCATCATCCACCGCTATTCAATATTCATACCTGTCCCGTTCTGTCGTGTCGACACCCGGGGGACGCGTGGAACGTTCTGAGAGCGAGCTTCTGATCTCCAATTAACAACGAGGATATGCACCTGACCGAGATTGGTTCGGTTGATTCTCCAGCGGAATCATTCGCCATTCCTGTGGTCGCTAATTAGGTTAATGAGGACGGGCGACGGATTCTCGATCGGTCGTCGTTTCATCGATTTATCGTACACGATTTCAGTCGCGCCGCAAATCGCGCCGTTCTCAATCAGCGACGAACCCGCGAATTGGGGCGAGGCAGTTTCGGCGGTCTGCACGATCGTGAAGGGTGACCTGCCCATCGACGTGTCGTGGGCTCTGAACGGGGAGCCCATCACCGGCGAGAATCACGGCGATATCTCGATCTCGAGCACCGGGAAACGGGTCAGAGTGATGACCATCGAAGCCGTGAGCGCCAGGCATGCCGGAGAGTACACTTGCACAGCCTCGAATGCAGCTGGAGCGACGAGCTATTCGTCCATCTTGGCCGTCAACGGTACAGACATGCACGAGTCGGGTCCGATAGGCGTAAGCGAGACTGTTACCATCACCTCTCATTGGCACAGGCAATCTCCTTTCTTTCCCAAATGTTTTCATCCACGGAATCCTCTAAATCTTCCTTTTCCGATGTCTTCGTATCGTTCCTCTCCTCGCTCGTACGATTTACGCGACACGGACTTACAGGCTGACCGACACTGGTACACGTGAATCGGAAAATATCGAATAGTTCTCGGACATTGTTTCCAGTCGCTCCGCAGATCGCTCCGTTCTCTATTGGCGAGGAACCGGCCAATTGGGGCGAACAAGTCTCGGCGATGTGTAGCATCATGAAGGGCGACTCACCGATCGAGATACGGTGGAGTTTGAACGGGGAACCGATCACGCGCAACAATCATCAGGATATAATGATCACGAAAAGTGGAAAAAAGACCTCGCTCCTGATCATCGAGTCCGTCACCGCGCGTCACGCCGGCGAATACACGTGCGTTGCGAGCAACTTGGTGGGATCCGTCAGCCATTCCGCAGTGTTATCGGTGAACGGTATTACGCATCCATACCATTAAAGCATCTCGTACAAATCTCCCGTTGAAAGTCTCCCGAAGTCGATCCCTAACATCCTAAGACTGCCACACGCGCGAAACAGCTCGTCGTCTACCTCCACGCTCTAATCTACCTTTCGTCTTCGGAGACGTTGGTTCTCTCGTCGAACCGGTCATCCTCGAGTACTATTCGAGAATAATTAATCGTTTTCGATCTCTTCCAACGAAGCGTCTCTATGTGGTTGTTCGTCTCATAGTCTCTCCGCAGATCGCGCCTATCTCCTTCGGCGACGAGCCTGTGAACGCCGGAGACTTGGTCTCGGTACAGTGCGTCGTGACCAAAGGCGACTCTCCTCTGGAGATCACCTGGACCTTCGATAGCCAGCCGATAAGATCCGATCGAATGGACGTGATTGTGTCCAACTCCGGGAAACGCGTCAAGCAACTGACCATTGAGTCCGTAGCTGCGAGACATGCCGGGGAGTACACCTGCGTTGCCTCGAACGCGGCTGGATCGACTTCGCATTCGGCTAAACTGGACGTTAATGGTACACACTTCTCGACGATGCTTGGACACCATCATCCCTCGACCCCAATCCCGACGCATCGACCACTTCTCTCGATCCCTTCCGTTCCTCCCATCGGTAGATTTCACTCGACGTTTTTCTTACGTTCGTTCAGCTTTCTTTTCGTTTGCATCTTCTTTTCTTTTTCATTTTTTTCCTCCCTCGATTGCAGTGCAAAGTAGACGGTGCAAAGATACGGACCACGAGATTCGAACAAAGCGACCGGCTTTACGGTCGATTCGAACCGCGTTTCTCCCGTTCGACGGCTGCGTGCTGCACGGTCGCGCGACCGTGGCCACGGCCTCGTCGCGACGCAGACGTTTGTTCCTTTCAGTTCCATCTTTTTTCTCGTTTCAGTAATTCCGAAATTATTGCCGTTCTCGTTCGGCGAGAAACCGCTTAACTCCGGTCAAGTAGTAACGGTACCGTGCGCCGTGGTCGAGGGCGATCAACCCTTGAAGCTCCGCTGGACCTTAAACGGTCATACGATTTCGCCGCACTCTGGAATCTCGATCGTGGATCTCGGCGGACGTGGCGCCATACTCAGCATAGGATCCGTCCAGGCGACGCACGCTGGAACGTACACGTGTATCGCGGAAAACCTTGCCGGAAGGCACGAGCTCTCGGCCGATTTGATTGTCAACGGTGCTTAAATCCGTAGCGATCAAGCTCGAACGTCACACGTATTGTCTTGTACCTTTAAACTTGCCATCCTTCCGAATCAACTCTCCCGTAGCGTTTCCTGCTTGAGTAACGTTCAACGGTTCCTATTTTTTATTCTGCTATCCTTGGTTCGCATTTTTTCCGGTTCTCGTCGAATTCAATTTACTCTTCGACGATTTAATTCCCTTAGTCCCAGCCTCCTATGGTACGGGTGAATCGTTGCGTTTGAGAAGTTTCCACCGGTGGTGGCTGGTCTCGAGCGATCCGAAGCAAGCCTGTGACCCTGCAAACGCGAATCACGTCTGAAGTCGGCGCGTTAAATCATCCCCGCTAAATTACGCGTCTATTTTCTCCCCGCACCTTCTGCTATATCTCTGCCTGACTCTAGAGTCTCTCTGTCTCTATCTCTCGGCAGTCGCTCCGCATCTGCAGCCGTTCTCTTTCGACGAGGCCAACTCCGGCGATCTCATAATCGTCCATTGCGCGGTCGTAAAAGGGGACACGCCGATTTCTCTCAAGTGGTTGTTCGAGGGACGTCATTTAGAAGTAGGCGACGGAGTGGGTATCACCGCGTTGGGGGATAGAGTCTCCGCACTGACGATTCCCGCCGTCAGGGGAGAACACGCCGGAGAGTATGCTTGCGTCGCCGATAATCCAGCCGGTCGTGCTAGGCACAGCGCCCATCTCAAAGTGAACGGTACAGAAACGTGATCACTCACAGAACCATGGCATATACACCGAAGACAAGGCGAACGCGGCAGTGCAAAAAATGAAACCGGCATGATGATGTTATCCAAGGCGTACGCGTAGCCAAACTGTAATCATACCGATGCGTTGCGATGCGTGTTACGTTACGTTGAGATCGGCGACATGAAGATGTTTTTTTTTCTTTTTTTTTTTTCTTTTCAATTGGATACGTCTTTGTGCGGTCGTAGTTCGAGTAGTAGTCGTAATATTGAAAGAATAAAAAACGTCTCTACTGTCTGCTGTTGATTGTTGTAATAGCGTACACATACGTATATATATATATATAAATATGTTTGGAAGTCTGCATCCGCTCGACTGTCCATCTTTCTTTCTTACGTATATAATTATTCTCCCGCATCATCGTTTGTTTCGAAGTATCATCGTTTAGGTAGGTCGCTCGGCCGAGTGTAGCTTTTGGACCACAGTCCCACTCTCGTTATCCTTGGGCAACCAATCGTCAAAGGTAATTCGTCCGTAGCTCGGGACGAGCTCAATTTTCCCTTACCCCCTCGGTCCGATTTCTTTTCTTTTTCGTACTCTCGTTCTATATGTACACACGTACACGCACACATACGTATATAAACACGTACCGTCTCTCTCTCTCTCTATCTCTCTCTCTCTCTCTCTCATTCTCTTTCATTTTCTCACTCTGTCTATTCGAATCCTTTCTCTCATCCTTCTCGGGATATCGAATGGTATCGGCGAACTACGGTTCGCGCAGAGAGAAACGGCGGGCGCATATCCGCGACGACAACGAGAACGCGTAAAGTATATTTCGCAGCAGAGGAGAGAGGACTACCGAGAGAGATCAGACGAAAGATAAGAGTCGTGAGAGAGTCTCTCGCGGATCGTAGGGAATCAGCGAACCGATGAAAGTTGACGATGAATATGACCACGAGACGGTCCAGTCTACCACGAAGAAATCGGAGAACGGAGTCGCAGAAGCGGCGGTGGTACCGCGTATCTAGCCTAGCGCCTATCATTCCAGTCCTACCACGGATCAGTCCGTTCGATTTCGGGGATCAGCCGATCTATGCGGGGCAGGCCGCCCAATTGGCGTGCATGGTGTTGGTCGGTGACACTCCCATCAATATTACCTGGACCCACGAGGATCAGCCTTTGTCGCAATTCATGGGATACAGCATCGGAAAGCTCGGGCCACGGACGAGTATCATGCTGATCGAACCGGTAACGCCGGACCACGCTGGACGTTACACTTGTATCGCTAGTAATCCGTCGGGCAAGGCGGTGGAAGAGGCGACGTTACGAGTTCATGGTTAGGGCCAGAGTAATGGGAGCATTGAATGATTATTAATGATTGAACGATGATTGAATAATTCGGAATGAAAGCAACCGCGCCGGGCCCGTGAGGGTATTTGATTGCAGGCTTGATTGATGCATCTCCGTCGTTGCCGAAGCTGTCGTGTTACCTTGGCGAAGCTTACTGGATTTCAGTTCTCAGCGGAAGAGTTTGACATACACAGTGCGTTGCTTTCGTCGCCGGGGACGACTCTCTTGCGCGCCGTTTCTTACGTATCTCTCTCTCTCTCTCTCTCTCTCTCTCTCTCTCTCTCTCTCTCTTTATAAATATTTTTTCTACTTTCTACTCTGGTCATTTTTTTGTATATAAATTTCTTCACTCTGCCTATTTATGATTTCCGTTCTTTTCGCGTTTCTTATTCGTTCACCATTTCTGGTGCCGCCTATGTTTTTTCAGCCGAGTAGCAAAAGCAAAGTCACGCCCGAGAGTCCCACGTGTGTCCCCCTACCCCCCAGCAAGTTGGTTGAGCTTGACCCGCATCGTATTTGTGGCTAAGTATTTCGCCTCGTTTGATTTCCCTGTCTCGTTGTCATGCTCATCGTCGCTAATTTCTTTGGTGACACTTTCCGTTGGCTTCCGGGTTTATTTGGCCGCGACAACAGATCCAGGCACATGGATAGGGCTACACATCATTTTTTCTTTGCTCGTGCGCGACTCTCATCGCGTTACATACTCTTGGCGCGATCAGTACTCTCACCGTACGAATATGTCGGTGGATCAGCGATGTTCTCTAGGTCCTACGATCGAGCTGCGTATCTCGTGATCACGTTCGAGCGTCGATTTTGTATACCTCACCGTACCCCCGTCGCGCTACAACGCGTCCTTGTTCCAAGATGACCGACCGACCATCCGATCACCCCCTGAGAATCACCCTCTCGACCTGTGCCTCATCTCCGCGAAAGCAAATACCTCTTCTCACCTTTGCCTCGCCCTTGCCCCTCACCACACGTCTCGCCTCGTTCATTTTATGTATATGCATTCTTAGAGGTAGCCGATAGTACTAACACGCATGCTTTTCTCCTTACTCGTTAACCGTAGGCCACTTCTCAAGCGGTGCAGCATGATGGGCCGTGCTCGAGTATCGTGGTATTACAGTACTACTTGCATGGACGCTGCGAGCTCCTTCAGAGCCGTAACCGCGGTATCTCTCTATTCGCCTGGTCGACCTTCTTTCGTTTCTGTTCGTGCAGTAGTCACCCGCATAAACATCTCGAATTCCAGCATGTCGAATTGTCGCAATGTTGTCGCAGTTGCGGGAGCGAGTCGCGTTTCGTTCAGCATGCGACGAAATTGTTTGTCGTGACTCCAGTCTTCTCTGGCCGGAAAATTCGATCTCGCGATGTGTAGAACTCGAGCGACGGTTTCGTAGCCGTCGAGTAGCGTGGAGACTCGAGCTCACGACGCGACTCACTCCCGGATTAACTGCCGATTGGTGGATGCGCCCGGAGAACACCTCGGATAACTCGTTCGTTCTGTAACAGTACCACCACGTTGGATTCTGGAACCGACCGATAAGGCATTCGCACAAGGCTCCGATGCGCGCGTTGAATGCAAAGCCGACGGTTTCCCCAAGCCTCAAGTCACCTGGAAGAGAGCAGCTGGTAACTATTTTTCCATCCACGGTCTCGTCCGTATTCGTACCTTCCCGATATCTTCTTTTCTATTCTCCGCTTCCAGGGGATACGCCGGGCGATTACACGGACTTGAAACTGAGCAATCCAGACATCAGCGTTGAGGATGGAACTCTGTCGATCAACAACATCCAGAAAACGAACGAAGGCTACTATCTTTGCGAAGCTGTAAACGGAATTGGCTCGGGACTTTCGGCTGTCATTCTTATCTCGGTTCAGGGTAAGCTCCCCTCGGTTCTCTCCGTTTCGTTCGGTAACAGGGATAATAAGGGTGATCGTTGCTGTTATTTCAGCTCCACCCCACTTCGACATCAAACTGAAGAACCAGACTGCGAGACGCGGAGAACCGGCTGTACTGCAATGCGAAGCGCAAGGCGAAAAACCGATTGGCATTTTGTGGAACATGAACAACAAGAGGCTGGACCCGAAGAGCGATTCTCGTTACACTATTCGAGAGGAAATTCTGGCCAATGGAGTGCTGTCCGACCTGAGCATCAAGAGAACCGAGCGAAGCGACTCCGCGTTGTTCACCTGCGTTGCCACCAACGCCTTTGGAAGCGACGATACCAGCATCAACATGATTGTGCAAGGTTCGTGTCGATACTCGAACGATTTCGGCACCTCGATCTACCGATATACACCGAGAAGATAATTAATGATATTTCGTTACAGAGGTTCCCGAGGTTCCCTACGGCCTTAAAGTTTTAGACAAATCCGGACGATCGGTTCAACTGTCCTGGGCAGCACCCTACGACGGCAACAGCCCCATGAAACGTTACGTGATCGAATACAAAATCAGCAAAGGCTCCTGGGAAACCGACATCGACAGAGTACTCGTACCCGGATCGCAACAGAACGTAGCTGGCGTTTTCAATCTGAGACCCGCGACTACTTATCACCTGCGAATCGTTGCCGAAAACGAAATTGGCGCGTCCGATCCCTCCGACACCGTCACGATCATCACTGCCGAAGAAGCACCCAGCGGTCCTCCAACTTCCGTTCGCGTCGATGCCCTCGATCAGCACACTCTCAAGGTAATCGGTCGCTTAGTCTAACTTGCGACTTATCGAAAATATATCGTAACAGTGTTGACGCAACGATCGTATTCGAACAGGTAACATGGAAACCACCCCCTCGCGAGGACTGGAACGGCGAGATTCTTGGATACTACGTTGGCTACAGACTGTCTTCCTCGGAGAAACCGTACATGTTCGAAACCGTTGATTTCTCGAAGGAGGATGGAAAGGAACATCATCTGCAAATCATGAATCTTAAAACTTACACTCAATACAGCGTAGTCGTTCAAGCGTTCAACAAGGTTGGATCGGGACCGATGAGCGAAGAACGAAGACAACACACCGCCGAAGGAGTCCCCGAACAACCTCCTCACGATACCACTTGCACCACCCTCACGTCCCAAACTATCAGAGTCTCTTGGATGTCGCCCCCGCTGAGCGCTGCTAACGGAGTTATCACCGGATACAAAGTTAGTAAACGTTGGACGAATAATCGATCAAAGGTATTTACAATTATTTCTTGCAGGTTATTTACGGACCGTCTGACACCTGGTACGATGAAAACTCAAAGGACACCAAGATCACCTCTTCCAGCGAGACAATTTTGCACGGACTGAAAAAGTATACCAACTACAGCATGCAAGTCTTGGCTTTCACTTCCGGCGGCGACGGCGTCAAGTCTGCACCTATCCATTGCCAAACCGAACAAGATGGTAACAAAATACTTTTCAAAGTACGCTCGCGACGAGTTACGTAAACGTCTAAAATTTCTTATTCTTCGCAGCCCCCGAAGCACCGATCGCGATCAAAGCTCTGGTTATGTCCGCCGAATCGATCCTCGTCTCGTGGAGACCACCGAGCCAGCCCAACGGAGTAATCGCACAGTATACCGTTTACACGAAGGCAGACAACACCGAGGAACCGACCAGTCAGAAAGTTCCACCGAATCAACTGACTCACGAAGCATCCGGACTGGACAAGCAACGCAGATACGATTTTTGGGTGACGGCTAGCACTAACATCGGCGAAGGCGAGGCTTCGAAAATCGTGACGCTAGCACCGAGTGTTCGAGGTACATCTTGGTCCCCGAGTATTTTCCTTACGTTTCGCGTTCACCGAAAGACACCTCGCTTACGATACTTGCAGTACCGGCAAAGATCGCATCCTTCGATGACAAGTTTACGGCTACTTACAAAGAGGACGTCAAATTACCTTGTCTCGCCGTCGGAGTACCCGCGCCGGAAGTAACGTGGAAAGTACGAGGCGCCGTTCTCCAGCCAAGCGACCGACTGCGCCAGTTGCCCGAGGGATCCCTATTCATCAAGGAAGTCGACCGCACCGATGCCGGAGAATACTCTTGCGACGTTGAAAACTCTTTTGGCCACGACACCGTCACTCATCAGCTGATCGTTCACGGTGAGCTTCGAGACATATGTAACATAACTAGCGTCTGTTTCGGAGAACTCTGGGTTGGGGTTAAGAAAATGGAGTGACCCTTGACCTAGCGATTACAATGGAGACAGTATGTACATTAACGGTATTCAATATTGCCGCCCTACCAAAAGCTACCCCAAATCTACTCAGACAGTATTGTAGGAGTCTAATCGAAAAATAAGGCACGGGGATTCGAACCCACGATCCTCGGATCCACAGTCGACCCGCTTTACCTACGCGACCAATCCCGTACCCACGTTTCGTGTTCTTATTTGACTCCTTATTGTTGGGTATGGAAGGCGCGGACACTACAGTATTTCCAAGATGACCACCAATCGCCAAGTCAATACCTATAATAAAAAAAATCAATTAGAGGGTACCCAATTTTCTTAATCCCAACCAAACTCTGTTTCGGGTGAATTGTTGACATTTGATGTTGCATCGCAGCTCCCCCACACTCCCCGCAAGTCACTCTTACCGCTACAACCACCAACTCGTTGACGATGAAACTCCGACCTCATCCCACCGACAACGCTCCGATCCACGGATACACGATTCACTACAAGCCCGAATTTGGCGACTGGGAAACCGCGCAGATCAGCTCGACGACGCAAAAGTACACTCTGGAGAATCTGTGGTGCGGCTCGAGATACCAGATCTACGTCACCGCATACAACGGGTAATCATCCGAGCTTGATTCGCGCTGCGATAGGACAAACTCATACATCGTTGTCTTTTTCAGAATTGGTACCGGCGATCCATCCGACATGCTCAATACGCGCACCAAAGGCTCGAAACCGATCATCCCGGAACCGGAGAAATTCATCGAAGTGTCCACGAAGAGCATCACCCTTCATTTGAGCGCCTGGTCCGATGGCGGCTGCCCCATGTTGTACTTCGTCGTCGAACACAAGAAAAAGTAAGGGAAAACGGAGTTGCCGAGAGTCTACCGTGTCGTTTGAATCCGATAGAAATTGAGATGCGCATGTTTGGTACGATTCAGGAACCAACAGGAATGGAATCAGGTCTCGAACAACGTGAAACCCGGCGGAAACTTTGTCGTTTTGGATTTGGACCCTGCCAGTAGGTACCACTTGCGCGTGACTGCTCACAACAACGCTGGTTTTGCAGTGGCCGAGTACGAATTCGCTACACTGACCGTAACTGGAGGTGAGTATAAGCGGTGACGATGCAAAAGGCAACGGCACTCGTAGCCGGTGCTAATGGTGGCTGGATTGAATGGTCGCCATATTTTTTGTTCCAGGCACCATTGCACCGGCCCGCGGGCTACCCGATGTAAACGATGGTGGCAACGACGAGGATCCGATGAAAATGCTCATGGCTAATTTAAATCTGGCCGTGCCCGTGGTAGCAGCTATTCTCGTTATATTCGTTGCCGTCATCGTGATCTGCGTTCTCAGAGGAAAGGGCCACGATAGCGATAAAGGTAATCTGAGCGAGTCTATTGTTTTAACGAACAGGTACGATCGCACCGCCCGTACGCAATGGAGGTAACGACAACACCGACGTCAGACGTTATTTGCCGTGGTTACCCAGCTGGCTTGACATAAACGTGGTGGTGCCGGTCGGAGCTACGGTCGTTGTAATTATTGTAGGAATAGTGGTGATTTGCGTCGCGCTGTCGAGGAGAACTCGAGGCCCGGAACAAACACGGCTGCGAGGTATCTCATCAGCCGACGAGAAATATTACGAGGGACAATGTATACCAATTTTTTTTTATTATTTTAACTTGCTAAGTCGTAAAATAGTTGGACGATCGTCGGAAGGACGATTCCTCCCGTGGCACAGGTAGAAGATCGACTCGACGAGCGATTCTCGTATTAAAAGAAATCGATACGGCGACGATGTACGCGCCGAGAAATTGTTTTTCCGACGATCGATCCGCAGCGTTCGCCGCCCCTACTTTTGGAAAATTCTCTTTTCGCTCGTTTTCCTGTCGTAGGAGTCGGTGGACCAACAATCTAATCAAGTATATCGAGTACTTAACGTCGCCTATTAGTCGCTCGAGTTCGCGTTCATGCAAATTCACTTATATTTTAGACGACGTGGTATATCAACAAACCGGAGTTGGCGGTGCTACCCTCGACAAACGCAGGCCCGATCTTCGCGACGAACTTGGATACATCGCACCACCGAACCGCAAACTGCCGCCTGTACCCGGATCCAACTATAACACATGCGATCGCATCAAGCGAGGTACAGTGATAAGTAAGCCACAACTGCCTACAATATATGACTTTTAGTTAAATTCCAGTTAATTGTTTAGATGTTGTCGCATCGGCACGATAGTGTTACCGTTTTTATTTTACGTGACACGATCGGATCGCACAGAATACATATTAGACTTTCACCACTGCCAGACAGTTTTTAAACCGATACACCACTAAACAATACACACACATGCACACACGTAGCGGATAGAAAAAAACACAGCGAACGAGGCACCGAGAAGTTTCAGTCTCGCGTTCATACGGTAAACGGAATCGCTTCGTCGAGTTCGCTGCGCGTTTTCTGCACGCTACACGTATCCAAACACCATATACGTATACACGCGTTCATCATAGACATTGCCAGTTCTGTTTAATTGTTTGCCTCGCTTAAAAATGTTCTTTCTCTACGTATCGAGATGTATGTTCAACGGAAACGGATATTCTTCTCCCTCGTTTGCGCTTATCACACCGTCTGCGCGTACCAAGTGTCCAGTACGTGCGATTACGGTTCACCCCAGTATTCTAGTCAAAGAAACAATCACCCGAAATGGCTGCGAGCCAAACACGAATCCCGGTAAGCGTCGACCAGTCGTACGACCTTTGTAGTATATGTTCGATAGGTGGAACAGGCTCGATAAGGAGCCACTCGACGTGGGATCCCAGACGGCATATGTACGAGGAGTTGAATCATTACGCGCCGAACCGAAGATGTCCACCGCCGCCACGTATGGGCAGTGCCGAGGCTCTATCCCACAGAGGTTGGTAAAAGTAGTTAAAGACCCGAACGAAGCGCTCTTTCTTCCTTCGTGTCGTCGCGACGAGCCTTCGTCTATCGCGAGACTACGAATACTAAATTGCGGCCGTTGCAGCTGCTGGCTGGTTGCAGTCGGTCTTCGTAAGTTCTCCTTGTTCGACGGTTGACGTCGTGCAGACGACCTGTGTGATCCTCCGAATGTTGCACGCCTTCTGAATTCTTGCATGATTGCGCTGGTACCCGTTTATTTCGCAAACAGATGAACACGTGGCACTCGTAGAAAACACCTCTTTCGATTCGTTTCATTTTTCTCGTCGATACAGGACCAATCGCGTTCGCTCGCGTCTCGTAAAGTGGACGCAACGTATTTTACTTTTCATCCTGCGATCGGATGAGACGATCGAGAGAACGTCAATGGGCCTGTACTCGCGCAAATATAAGAATAACGTGCATGATATTCTCCTACGAACGTTTCCCTGCCCTCTGAGCGAGAGCAAAAATAAAAACAGAGGAACGCATAGGAATGCGATACGTAGGTACTCAACGATCGTAACGATTACTTGGTGGTTGCATGCGAAAGATTGTCTCGTGTTCCAGAGGCGTTTGGCCGAGGAGAGAAAGGGGAGCGCAATGTCCTCGATGCACCGAGATAATCTTGTACGATAAATAGATTAGTTTGACTCAGTCCACAACGGCAGTGTCTACCCTGAGCAATCGTTTCTTTCAGGCATGGAGGATGAGATTTGCCCGTACGCCACCTTCCATCTTCTTGGATTCCGCGAGGAAATGGACCCCACCAAGGCAATGCAATTCCAGACTTTCCCTCATCCAGGAAACGGACACTCTGGCACTATGGGACCACCCGTTGGCCATCCTACCAACGCCTCTGCTCACAGCCGCTCCGGATCTCAGTCTATGGTATCGAGAACGTTTCTGCGTAATTCGACCATACGGATTATACGTGAAAACGGTTTTGATCATTCGTTAACTTGTTTATCTCAGCCACGTCAAAACGGTCGCTACTCGCGCGTACCATCCCAAGGAGGCGGCAGCGGAACTCACAACGTTTTCTCCCCCGAATACGACGACCCGGCAAACTGTGCTCCGGAAGAGGATCAATACGGCTCGCAATACGGACAGTACGGTGCTCCTTACGATCATTACGGATCCCGCGGATCTGTTGGTCGCCGTAGCGTAGGATCGGCCCGCAACATTCCTATGTCTGGATCACCCGAACCACCACCACCTCCGCCAAGGAACCACGATCAGAACAATTCCAGCTTCAACGACAGCAAGGAGAGCAACGAGATCAGCGAGGCGGAGTGTGATCGCGACCAACTCGTGAACCGCAACTACGGCGGTCAGTAGAAAGAACCGTGATCGAGTGGGGGACGAGAGGACCGATTTACGAAGCGAGTCGACGTGCACGAGAATCCGGATCGGAAGGATCGGCTGTAACCGTTTGTTCTCGATTCCGATTCGTGTTCGAATTCGTCTTCGCCGAGTGGTACTCGCTCTCGGTCTCCTCCCGTTGCTCGCTCTAGCGCAGTAGGCGAATAGGCATGCCGAGCGAGTCACATCGTACAAGAATGAACGAGACTCGCTCCGGAGTCTGTGTATCTAATCGTTAGCTTCCACGATTTTGCATGCTACGTGTCGTCGTAGTAGTTTACCGTTGTGTCAATCGTGCCGTGTGTTTTTCTATTTCAGTGAATGCTCGCGGCAAGGACGGCATGACCACCGAGGAGATGCGTAAACTCATAGAGAGGTCAGTAGAGATCGAGTGAGTTTGGTTAACGGTGAACGATTGTATACATATAACGTTTCACCGTTCCTGCCGCTGTGTCTCGAGCGATTTCTTGCCTCGAAAACTGTCATTGACTTTCTCGATAGTAAATTGGCCCGTTTCTCCGTTAGTCGCTTCGACTTTATACCGTTCGACGATCTTTGATCTCGACTCTCCGTAGTCTTTGCCAGACCTGCTCTTTGCGGAATTGTTGTCTGTCGATGTCCATCATTGGCATTGTCGAATCTAATTCGAGTCACGTACGTTCGTGTGTACCTTCTAAAAATGATAATAGTGGTGATCGAGTGCACGGTGGTTCCGCTAAGAACTCTCGAATAACCTTTCGATGATCTGTCTAACGTATCTCTGACTTTTTTCTTGTTTCATGACTTTTTACGCAGGAAGCCGTAAGTCCGTTAGACAATAATCAATACTTAACAACGCAGGGCGCATTTTCGTGACCGACGGTTGCGTTAGAGACGATATTGAAAAGCTTTAGAAGTTGCGTTATCATCTGTTTTTAGTTAGTTTATGTGGCCACGAGATTAGGTCAGTCGATGCTTCGACGGCGTTGCTTCACGCGATCAACGAGATCTCTACCTGGGTCGAAAGCGCTTACTAAACCAACGTGTGTTTGCATGCGATTGCGGTGAATACATGCCATGTATGATGTTCGTAGTTGACACTAATTTTTTTTTTTAATAGATGACGCGAAGGGTGTACCCGACTCTCGATCGGTACCGAGTTTCTTTTCGCTACAGCTGTCGCTGTCCCGTCGTTGCTACAGATCCTGCTGTCCATGCTGCTGGTGCTACTAACCACTAACCACCGCTACGAATACGTTTTTTAATTGTCGTATTTACGACTCGCCTCGTTTAATTTACTCGCGATTCCAGCTAATGCATGCGCCGATGATACCACGTGCAGGTTCATTTAGTTGCTGTTCTTTAAATGCGTAGCAGTCGTATTTGTTCGATGAACGTACGAAAACGTCTGCACGTGGGGATAGCGATAGAATGCCGTTGAAGTAACAGGTACCTGCGCGCCAGGGTCACGCGCGACGTTGATTAACAATTGAAACTCCCTGTTGCAGAAACGAAGCCCCCAGCCGGCAAACCGGCCCCGGCCACGGCGGTCACGGGGGACTCCTCACACCCTACGATACTGTGGCAGTGTAACCTGTAAATCATCTTCCGTGGTCTTCCGTCTCTCTCGTCGCCGGCAGCCCAAGACTCGAGAGGAGCGGAACGAGTGCGCACGCCATCTCTTCCCCCGGTGCTGTCGTCGGTCCAATTTGCAACGATTTACGATTTAAAAAGTTACCATCGTCGCGAGTAGATTAGATTCGGTCCATTTTACATAAAGCGTACGCTCGTCGAACAATTTACACGTAAAAAGTCAGCGTTACGGCCGGCGACGACAGCCGCCTCCCGAAGGGAAACGCGTTCTCCTCTTCGTCCGCGACCATATCGTTTTACACAATTTTTGGCCTTTTTCTATTTAAATCTCGCGTTTTCCTCGTTGATCGTTTCATCTCTCATTCGTTGTTCGTTCCATCCGTCTATAAGGCCAGGTTACGAAACTGCCAAATTTATATTGACTGCCGTGATATGGACGAAGATGGATCATTTACGCGTGTGGCAACTTTATCGCGTCGTTGCTCGTAACGATACGTACGTACGATATCGTAGTAATCGAACTGTCGTGAACGAGACTCGATTCCCGTTGGGACGGTGGCGAACACACCCGGCACGTTCGCGGACGTTTCAGAACGCGACGAAGAATCCGGCCCGCGACGCGTGCTCTCGGCGACGGTGAATTATCACACGGGGGTCTTCGCGAGTTGTTCTAGGTTACGATTGTCGCTTTCAGGCGCCCACGAGTCACGGGAAGTAAACACGAGATAATACATTAGTTATTCGCTTTTTTAAGTCATGGTTGTGCCACACTGCCGCTCCCCGCAGGCATATGATATTATACATACATATATATAATGATATTATACATATATACATATATATATATATATACATACGATTTATAATTTCGTAACGAAGGTTGTGTACCCCATTTTCGGTGACCGACGATCTTGAGTCTTGACGTCGCGGAGAGCAAGTCTCGGAGCGCTGTTTTCGCAATCGCGATAACACCGAATTGGTAACATACGAGCTCGCATCGATGCCGTGGTGGCGTTTGCCAAATACCTGTTTTTTCGTCGGGCGAGTCGAACGAAAATTCTCGTGACACGCCGATCGACTATCCGCAGGAAGAAACGCGGCACGATAAAATTCCATAAACCCATTGGAGAAACACGATGAAACAAAATTTGAACCGATTAGACACCATGATCACACCGCGAGTGAAAAAAAGAAAACGAATAATTGGAACGTAAATAGAATGCAAGCAAGGAAGTACACCACGCTCGCTGTCGATTTTTTAATCATCCTATACGATATTTAGTCCGCTGTACACACACATATATTCCGCAAGCTAATCTCGATCAATTATGACGTATGTGAATTTAATGATAATGCGACGATGATATTATAACGTGTAAGCAATTCGAGCAACAAGTACCGATTTAAACGTAAGTAGAATTTAAGCCGGACGGATACGGTCGCGAGGTTGCGCCGTTTCGCTTTCGCTTTCGTTGAACGGTGACGCGTCGAGCATCGTTGAATAACAAATGAAAAAGTAATTTGATGGGCCAACGGATTTGACAGGGCGCCCTCGATAGCAGAAAGTAAATAATAAACATGAACCGCCAAGTATCGTTCGAATACTCGAGATTTGTTCCTCGACGTGGCGCCCGGATACGGTTACGGCGCGTGTCTCATAGTTGGTTTTTATCACAACACTATTTAGATATATACAAATATATAAATATATATATGTATACATTGACGTTCATATGCATACGTTGTAAGTAGGTATGTCTAGGTGTCGCATTTATTTGCCGAGGCGATGCACGAGTTGTACACCAGTCGCGAGAGTGTCACGGTCGAAGAAATGCGACCGTCGTGGACGACGGAGCAATGCCGGGGTGCTTCGGCCGTGAACGATCCGTTTCTTATTTTCTACGATCGAGGATCTCCTAACCCTTCGTTCGTATTCGCTGGCTACGACTCGGCACGCCGACGCACTTTTACTCATCGATGTGATTTTAAAGGCTGCGCAAAGTCTCGTGTCTCGTGTATGTGTTACGATCGCGCTCTACCACATTAAATGTAGCCATATCCAATTCACCTTTTACGATGTATATCACGTTTTACTCACGTAACGCTCGCGGAGCTTTTCGCTTTTGAAGCTTTTGAAATTTAACTGCGATGAAAGAGAGACCGAAAAATATTTAACTTATTCGATATTATTAGCCGTGCGATCGACGTCGCGTCTGCTCGAGCGCGACGGTCGACATTAATTAAGAAGGAAATGAAAACGTGATGTCCGCGAAATGTCGCTTAGCTTTTTCTTCTATTTGTCGATCCGAGAATAATCTCGTTTGTCGTTACGGTTTGTGTGATCAATCTGGAATCGTTTTCCTTCGCAAGGTTTAACGTTACTTTTTGAAGATGCTGTGAACAAACGGTCGGTGCCGCCGTCCGCGTTATACATTATACATATATTATGCTTTATTCATTGGATGATATTGGATGTTCGTTTCGTACAACAAGCGAGGCGGTTCTTCGAGCATCTCCTTCAGCGGGACGCGTGTCGTCTTATCTTTCGGTTGCAAACAGAGTCGGGACGTTTTCGTAATTTATACACTTGTGTTGCGCTCTGTGCTCGCCTTTAAATTGGTCGTAAATTTGTATTCTCGCATATACAACGATACTCGTATTTGTCCGTGTTCGTGGAGACTCGAGGATCCGCTCGCAGTACACCATTTCCTCAGTACCACTGTTTTATGTTTTTGTACCAAAGTCGTAGCGTCTAACTTTACGTTAAATAAATAAAAGTAAAAAAAAAAATCTTACTTATGTTATCAGATGCCTCGGCCCTATTACAGAGTGGACCAGTCAGCCTCGCATTTGTGGAAGTCTCGAATTATGGATACGTATATTACTTTTTCTGTCAGAAATATTAATTTCTTATTGTATGAAAAAGGTAAGCGACGCGAACTTTAGTTGATTAAATAAAACTTTTCAAGATCTAATTGAACTCAGTCAAATTATCTTAAGATTCGTTAATGTTAAATCTTCGATAATACAAAAGCAATTTGTAGAATTTTTGGAAATGCAAAACTTCTCGAGTTTCGCGTACGTGGTAACATTTGAATAGCGCTCGTGCGGTGATAAGTCGCCATAGTTGGTACCATCATTTGTTTGCACGATGGCGTCCGGCGGTGGTATGTATCCGTTTATTTTGCTTTTTATAGTTTAATAGGTTGCATTGGGCAATACGTTTCGGACAAGAATTCGTTGCGTTTACGATGCTGATTAATTTATCGCTCTCCTGACGACAGAAAACCCGACGGAGGAAAGAACCGAGCCAGTGACACCAGCACAACCCCTCACCAATGTCGTGAGCGAAGCAGCGCAAGTAAGTCGGATAACCTATAAATCTAGCGCGTAACCTCCTAGACACCTTCGCGCTATTACAGTTCGTTCGTACGACCGATATTTCGCAAAATGTCAACTGTTAATCGTATGTTCTCGTGTCGTAGGATTAATTGTGCGCGTAAAAATTAACAGTGTGTCGTTTGTTTGTTACAATTTCGACGGTTCCCGCCAATCTGATTGACAGCTGTTGTGGCAATTTCGGAAATTGTATTTATCGATGTCATACGAATATATTATTGGAATCTAGGTTAGCGTATCTGTTTAATGTTGCTCGAACTAAGAATTCTCGTCTGGTTTCGACAATTTTGATCAAAAGCATTAGCAGATGAATAAAACGAGTGGTAGATCTGCTCCTATTAATCTTTGCATTGTTCTTTATGATTACAGAGGATACTAGCTATGAACAAGGACTCCGATTTGACAGGTGTACCGCCAAAAAAATCACGGGTCGAATTGCAATCCCTTCCGACTAGGCAGTACTTGGATCAGACGGTAGTTCCAATTCTGCTACAGGCATTGTCGAGTTTAGCCAAGGAGAGACCTGCGGATCCTATTAGCTTTCTAGCTGGATACTTGCTGAGGAATAAGAGCCAGTATGACAATGGTGAATCTCCTCCGACTAGTTAATGAACTGTCGACTTATTTACTAATATGCAATGAAAATTGAGAAATCGTTTGTAAACATATACTGATTTTTCTTAGGAACATATACGAGTTGGGCAAGGTGTGTTTGTGTAATTTCAAATTAAATAAAAATGTATTAGTTTTCTTAATTTACGATAGGCCTTTTAGCAGGTAATCGACGAACGTAACGCAAATGTATTCAGTTTCGCAAAAAATTTCTTTTAGTGTTTCTTTGATTCTTACCCAGTGATTACCCAGTTTAGAATATTCTAAACTCGGAAAAGTTAATCTCCTCGTTAAAGAGTTTACGATAGTTAATACCTGAAGTCTCCTCTTCGTTGACTCGTAGAACGTTCGAAAATCATTTTCCCGAAAATATGAATTGCAAGTCCTTTCCATCAACTATAACAAGCGAGTAGGATCGTTATCGCTGGCTCGATAAATCGTAATGAGTCCTCCGTGTTCGCGTCGATTTTAATTGGAACGGCGATTTAATTGGACGCAATTAAATGTAATCGTCCAATGAATCGGCGTGAAATTTATTTTACGGTCCGATAAGATCAATAATTTGCACGGTACACGCGACGCTTTCGAGCTTCTCCAAATTAGTTTTGGAGTAAACAGACCACGTTGATTTTTTGACGTTTAAATTTTAGGACAACTCGTTTTTGTTTCGTTAAATTTTAGGACGACTCCGTAGAAAGAAAATTCGTGTGGACCCAGATAACGCTACAGCACCGCACAAAACGACGACGACGACGACGACGACGACGACGACGACGACGAGATATCGGGGTAATTTCGTGGCGAACAATTCGCGCGGCAGCATCATCGTACCGAGTCCAATTAACGACGGAGGATCCCATTCGAGTCTCTCGTATATCACCTCGTTCCTTGATACCATTGCAGCTGTGCATTCGCCACAGACTCTGCAATTACTTTTATTTTCTGTCCGTTGTGCCGCGTTTTAGGTAACAGTTGTAAAGGGCGTAATGCACTTTTTATTCAATTAGACAAGCGCCTGACATTATCTTATAGCAAAAGATTTTGACAGCCTCGGTTGGTATTGAAGTTTTGATTCGCGTTGAAGTCTTGGTTGATCATGAAGCCTTTAATGATTCTTACATAAATAAATAAATAGTAATCGTGGCGTGTTTAGGGACTTCTCGTACTTCATGTTTCGCGTGAACGAGTAATTGACCGAGTTTGCATTTCTTTCCTCATTTTTCTTTCGCCTTTGTTTGTATCCAAATTCAACGGTCAGCTTGAGACGCGTCAGTCTTACGTTTAGCATGCTGCACGTAGTACAGGGCATAGAAGCACAAGGCAGGTACATCGAGACTACAGTTAATGGCAGAATCGTGTCACGGCTTTCGTCGTGCGCGAACAATCTGCACATTCACGCCCGCACGGGCACACGGCGCCTTCGGTTCAATTGGCACGCATATTGGAATTCTATTAGCGAGATTACCGACAGTAATTGCTCGGTTTGGCGCAATATCGCACGCTCGTATGTGCCTAGCCAACAGGCTAGCGTGCGTCAAACGCGGATTAAGCGTGTACATTTCGTCTCGACCCGAGCAAGTCGGGTGTATGATATTTATTACGAGTATAGTAATCGTAGCTGGGTCCTTCGAACAGAATTTTCCAAAGTGCGTTTCGTGTGGCATGAAATTGCTTTTAGAATAATGACAGAAATTCGGAAAACTCCGAGCTTAAAACTTTGCTTTGTCCCGGTATTTGCTGGGGCTAGAAGAAACTTTTTCAGAGAGTACGATTTGCAGATTGCGCTAGAAAATGTTGATCGCAAATTTAAAATGTACCGTGGAACACCCGGTACGCCGTGACTCGCGGATTTGAATATGCACGGGTTACATTAGTCGTAGCGAGTCGCTTCAAAGGATCGAGACGTTCGGTTGAAATTACTCGGACTACTTGGGCGAGCGTTACTCTCGCGCGCGAGAGTTCCTCTGTGAAAATTTAATCGAAAGTTCCTACTGCTAGGAAATGAAAGTCGAAAGTAGATACGAGGGTGAAAAAAATATGCTGGAACACGATGAATAACATATTTCGCTGGGAAAGTAGCGAAACTTGTAAGTTCGCGGATATCGAAGGGTGGAAAACGATTTACCAGGCATAAGGGCGTTGGGATTCGAAGCTGAGCTTTTTTTCTAAATTTCCGTCTCCGAACCGACACCGGATTATACCTATAAAATTTTCTCCCGTAACTTGAAACTCTACCGTTGCCCCCTCTCTCTTCGTCCCCCCTTTCCCTGGGTCAGATTCAGGGAAAAAACGCTTACCAGGCAGATTCGCGCGAGCTAAAGCTCTCTTTTCTCTCGTATTTTTTGCCACGCTACAATTCTATCTGATAGCGGAAAAGTTTTTTCATGTTTCTTTTCCGGTTCGTTCCGGCTCGTTTTGTTTTTCGATTCGTTTCGCTTCGGCCATGAAAGATGACGCGCGATCGCGCATACCGAAACGATAAATAGCGCTTGCTTTTCGTTTTAGTCGCATTAGTAGAATTCGCGCTTAATTATCGAGAAATAATCGTTCATTCGGGATCTTATTTAATTTTAAAAACTTGGTAAAAAAAAAAAAAAAATGGGATAACAAAAGTTTGATGCAAATATTAAACCCAATATCTACTCGGAAAGTACCGTAATTGGACATAATATAAAATCGTTAATTGAATATCGAAACGTTTGCGGGCTGCAAATTGAAAGCCCCCAAGCACGACAGGACGAGGTGCAAGCATATTCGACTCGAAAATGAAATTCGTAATTCGGTCACGTTGTACTGGGACGTTTTAATCAGCCTGACGGAATGCTTGAAATCCGTGAAGGAGCATGTACAAGGGCGCTCCCCTTTCTTCTCTCGTCCCCTCCGCCCTATCACCCTTTCTCTCTGTTCCTCTTTCTGAATTATCTTGCGGTTCCTCGCTCGCGGGGCCGCAGATTTTCATTTCAGATCTGGCTCCGGCACAGTGCAGAGGAGAAAATAGAAGTCGCTTCCCGTTGATTTCAATCTGTTTGACGGGGCACTCCTCGCTCCTTCTCGCTTTCCGGAGCGTCGCGGTGCCCGATGCCAGCGCACCGCGTCGCTGCACGAAGACAACGAGACGAGATCCGCGACGCAGGCATACGAATATCGTGCAACGGCATCTCGCTGGTTATTTGGTACTCCCGTTTCTTATTCTTCATCCGACCGTGCATTTTGGATTTACTATTTTCTCTGCGAATACGACGTTTCTCGAAGGACATCGATCCACAATTACTAGATCCACGACTCGTTTGGAAATTTCTCCTCGAGCCGTCCTATCTGTCGCGTCGCCGAGAAAACATTACGGAATTCTTGGTAAAATAGGGTTCTTTAAAAACATATCCAAGGATAAAGGGTTACGTTGTCCCTGCTAATTTAAATTTAATCCCACATTTTGGACCACATAAGTTTTATCCCGCTAGATCGCTAAAATCATACTGTGCGACGTTTAAACATCCTCTCTTGTTCTTCGTGCGATTTGCTCCAACGAACCGAAAGGTGATAGGAATATCGATATTACTCGCAGCAGCCTCGATATTGTCAGAGAATATTCTGCACAAAGGTAGTACATTCCTCTGGAAGGGTTTATGCGCAGATCCACTCCCTCGGGTTTCAGTTTTCGATCGCAGCTGGACGTAGAATCGGCTCTGCCTCCCCATTCGCCCTTCATCTTCCCACCACCGACAGGTAAGCGTCTCTCGAAAATCGCTTAATCCTCCGACCGGTCGAAAGCCCCACGCCCG